AGGCAAAGGGAGAAATTAAAGACTTGCAAGGGCAAAGTGAAGATATGTAACCTGGCAAAGGACAATGGCAAAGGAGCAGCCACAGTTACGTGTGGCTTCTTGGAAGACAGTAAAATTTTCCAAGATCTATCTTCCTGAGAAAATGCAGAGTCTCTTTGAAGGTGGCCTTTCATGGGAACCACATCTTCCTYTCTTATGGCCCAGGCCCAGAAATTCTCACCTTGGAATACAGATTAGAATATATATTAAAAATCTACCAAGATTTTTTTTTTTTAGAAAAACAAACAACAACATATTGATCCAAACTATTGATCCAGGCTTGGCCTTTGTGTGTATGTTGTGACAAAGACTTGCCATTTAGTTCTAATGGGCAGCTGTATTTAGGAGACCTGCCCCATTTAGAGAATCAGAGTAACTTTCATTGAGAGCTTGCAAGGCCCTGCTGGTAGCTTCATTTATTTACAAGTCTGGGATTTGGGGGAGACAAAGTAAGATCTAGATTGGGGTTGACAAGTGGTTCTGGTGCCCTCCCACTTTCTACTGGGGCAGAGGATGCTCTCCGAGCACTTTCCTGCAGGACACACACCCAGCTCTTTCAACTCAGTGGAGCCCCAGGCTCTGTTCTGCCTGCCTGCCTCTGGGCATTTCCTTGAAGGCAAAGAGCTCAGGCATCTGCCAAGCAAGAGCAATCTCGTTGGGGCAGTTTCTCAGTGAAGTAGGAAGGGCCAAACTCTGCAGGGGATTTGGTTGTTGACAACCCCTAAAATTCTAAGACATGTAGTGATGTGAAAAAATTCCAGRCATTGTTGGAAGATATTTATTTTTAAAGGAGTGGTGTGGAGTATTTTCTTAGTGCATTATTAGTCAGGCTTGCCTGAGGGACTTTGAGCCGAGGACTTTGGAAATCTCAGAAAAGCCCAATTGTCATCTTTTTCTCCTTTCATTCCCAGTTGGRTGTCCCCATTTCCACTTCTCCATTCCTTCTTTGTCTCCCTTTAGGTAATGCTCAGCTTGAATCTGCCGCAGCCCGGCTGGCTCCATTTCCCCTCTCCTTTCTCACCTTCCTTCTTTCTTTTCTTACTAAATCAATACCTGCCATCATGGTGGGCATTGTGGTAAAAAGCAGGAGACATCCCTGCTCCCTGGAGAGACAAGGGGTAYCCAGACACCTTCAATGTGCTGGGTGAGGGCCGTGAACACAGAGCAGCACCAAGTGTCTGCAGGAGAGCACCTGATCTGGACACAGAGGGGCAGGAAATGAGAGCCAAGAGGAATGCTGGGCTCACCTTAGTCTTGGAGATCAGGAAGGGTGAGACAGGCTAACAGGGGGCAGAAGGTGTTCTATAGAAAGGGCCCATCCTTGATGGAAGGCTTGACTCAACCACCAAGTCCCCAGTAGCTCAGAGCATGGGGACATAAAGCAGTGATCAAAGCAGCGAGGGCTTTTACATCATGCTTGATAATCTGGGGTTTATCTCACAATCAACAKTTTTAATTAAAAGAGTACATACATGTGATTTAAGATCAAATGACATATTTGATGAAAAGCAACTGTGTCCTGCACTGGTCCTTCTCCCCACCACCTCTCATTCCTGGGCACGACCAGGCTTTACTTACTTCAGCTCTCCATTCTTGTCCTTATCTCCATGTCATTRAAATAATATGCATCTTTCTCCATTTATCAATCAAAGTCAGACACTATCAAAATTTCTACTGTCATATGAAAGTAAGGAACACTGATCTCTTGCCTACACTTTTATTTTGAAGGCTTTGGGTAGCAAGAAAAGGCATTAAATAGAGAAGCCATATGATAATATTCATGACTTTAGTGTTTAGAAAGATCATTCCAGAAGCTTGGTGGGGAAAGTGGATGCAGAAAAACAAGATGATAGGTGCCATGGATTTGACTAAAGGGTTGGTTCTGTTAATTCAGAGAACATGAAGCAAGAAAAATTGGGAGACTGAATTGGTACTTGGGGATGAGTGTTCCTGATAATTTACTTTGCTAAACATAACCTTGAACTTGATCCCCAAACCTGGGTATGAGGACTAAAAATCTAGAAAGCTATGGATTAATTAGCCTTTCATCTTAGAAAATCCTGAATACAATCCCCAAAGAATAAAATTCTAGAAACTGAAAGGAAGTCATTWTTTGTTTGAGTTTAGGGCTTAATTCTAGGGGGACCAGGTGGTTTCTTAAAGATGAWTCCTTATTATTGTTTCAAGCAACATCAAAAAATCCATCATTGAAATTTGATGCTCCTTTCCATTTTTGAAACACTAAAATATTCTTAACAACACAAAGAGTACTTATTCTAAACCATAAACCAACATCATATATCAAACGAAACTCTAGAGTTCCCCGTAAAATCAAAACAAAAGTCAAATGTTTTAAAAGTCCAATACTATTATTTTTATGGCAACTTTCACACACATACCAAGTTTGTTTCTTTCCTTGCCCAAAGAGAACAGTTAAAAAAAAAAAAAAAAAAAAAAAAGCAAACAGGACCCTATATAAAAGTCTGTGTACTGGTCCAGAAGATGAGCAAGGAAGGGGGTTCTCAGCTGACCTGGCACCTGCGGCCCAGGGCCCTGGGGACAGATGGTGCAGGCAGCCACTCCAGGGCCGTGGATCCCAGGTGGGGCTGGGCAAAGCGAGCAGTTTCTGTTCCTTGGCCTCCTCACTGTTGAATTTGTGCCAGGAAACGCCTCCGTGTGAAGGAATCTGTGAAATAAGCAAAGAGAAGCTGGCGAGGGGAAGCCCCAGCAGGACCTGCTCTGTCCCCAATGTTCTTTGTTGGTTGAGGTTTCATGGTTTTGTCTCCTGAGATCATCATGGCTGGCGCCATTCCTTTTCTGGCCGCTAGGGGTGCTCTGATCTTCACAGCTCTTCAGGTGAACCTGAGCACAGTTCCTTCTCTTAGTTGTGACAAGATACAAAAACAGGCGTTTGCCCTGACATGCTCAACAAAGACACAACATTTTAAAAGAAATTCAACATCGTTGTGCAAACACATATATAAAATAATGCAGGGTTTTTGGTTTTTGTTTTTGCAGTTTTGGGGRACGGAACCCAGGACCTCCTGTGAGCAACATTCCCAGCCCCTTTCCTTTTACTTYGAGACAGTCTTGTTAAATTGCTCAGGCTGGCCTAGAACTTGTGATCCTCCTGCTTCAGCCTCCTGAGTAGCTGGGATCACAGGGGCACCAGCAAGCGTGGCTTATTTCTATATTTAATGTAGTTTCTAAAGTTAATATATTTATTATTTTTCTCCTTCCACGAGTCTGAAAAGGAGTTGACATGTTTTAGAATAAAAAGACATGCTRTAGGAACATTAAGATGAAACAAAATATTAAAGTCCATGAACTGAATTTCAGGAGAGAGGAGAGGGAGGTCAAAGACAGTTGCTGGGACTGAGGACAAAACAAGCCAATGAACAACAACAGTGAACCCTTTTATGGCCGAAAAGTTGCCTTAATGTTTTGGAATTCATTGCATAATTGTCTGCACCTGAATGTATTTCTCTGAAAGAGGCTCCATAGTCCTTTTTATACACTTAGGTGGGGTCATGGCTTTAAACATGTTAAGGATGTTTAATGTGAGATTTAATCCCTGCTTCTGTATGATGTTGCAGAACTTCCACTGGAGGTAACATGCACTGAAGTAGGATGGTCTTCACTCCACCCTGACCCCAGGGCTATGCCTTCTACATCTTCTGCTCAGGATAGGCAGGGACCCTTCCAAAGAACTAAAATCCATACAGCATTTCGAGCCCAATTTCTACCACAATTATGTGTTGCCAAATAATAATAAAACCATGATGAATGTATCAGTGGTCCTTTATGGTTTGTGAAGTTCATCCAAATATATAGTGTGATCTTCACAATAACTCTTCAAGGTAAGCAGTAGAATCTCCATCTTCTGGTCGAGGACTCCTCGGGCTCAGAGATCTTCAATGACTTGTTCAAGGTCTCATTGGAAATGGTAGTTTCTGGGCCCATACTAGAACCTGCATTCTGAGATAGGCTTACAGTGTATTCTACCCAGTGCCAGCCATAATGAGATTGGAAAAGCTGGACTTCTCCCATAGTCAAAACCATCCCAAGCCACTAAGATCTCTCTTTTTTAAAAAATTTGCTTTATTGGTGCCCTGTACCTTTCCCTTCCCTCTCCTATTCCCTCCCTCCTCTGCTCTCTCTGCTCTATAGATCTCCCTTCCATCTTTATGAAATCCCTTTTCTTTTCCCTTTTCTCTCTAGCTTCCACTTATGAGAGATTTCTGAGTCTGACTTATTTTACTTAGCATAATGTTCTCTAGTTCTATCCATTTTCCTGAAAATGACATGATTTCATTTTTCTTTATGTCTGAATAAATCTTCATTATATATATATATATATATATATATATATATATATATATATATATATCACATTCATCTGTTGACAAACAGACTGGTTCTATAACTTGGCTATCGTGAATTGTGCTGCTATAAACATGGGTATGCATGTATCATTATGGTATGATGATTTTAATTCTTTAGGATAAATATCAAGGAGTGGTATAGTGGGGTCATTTGGTGTTTTCAAAACTAGTCTTTTGAGGAATCTCCATTGTGGTTTTAGTAATTTACAATCCTACCCACAGTGTGTAAATGTAAAGATCTCTTCTTATTTATTAATTCAGTCCTATTAACTTGTATATCTCAAATATGTTCCCAGCTGCTCATACACAAATCATAAATTACTGCTTACAAAATATATAGAGGAGGTGATATCCAATAATAGGTCAAGCCATTAGCATTTAGTTTTTTAAATAAACCTTGGACATATAGACTCCTGTCCTGGTTGAATTTAGCCACATTGGTACTATACTGGGGATGATTGACAGGGGGATGATGGATGGCTTTTCTTCATCCTGGAATCTTTAGACCACTCACTTGAAAGGATTTGACTCTCCACCCATCAGAAAGCATTCCTTGTCCTGAATTTCCCTCCATAGGAGGCCTATGTGACTTACCAGGATCACATCCGGCTGGTGGGGGAGCTGTTGACCGTCATCGGGGCTGTGATTATCCTGCTTCTRGAGGTGAGGTGCAGGGGGGTCCAGGCTAAGGCCATCCACCTGAGGCCCCAGGCTGAACTGCAGTCTACATTGTCTCTTTGTTTTACTGGCCTTCCCCAGATCCCAGACATTTTCAGAGTTGGTGCCTCTCGCTATTTTGGACAGACAATCCTCGGGGGGCCATTCCATGTCATCATGTGAGTGTCTCCTCCTTTTAGCCCCTGCCTACACTTAAAATGGTTCCAGGTCTCCAGTGCACTCTCTGGGATATAGACCTTAGGTGACCCTCACTCAGGTGTTCCTCTCCAGTGGACTTATATCTATGTGTGTAGGTGTGTTTTATGTGTTAAAACTAAGCCTGAGTGTGTGGGTACCACCCAAGTCACCACCATGCTGTGGGGATATAGAATATTCCCAGCCCACCCTCACTCTGTTTCCTGCTCTTCTTCTAGCATCACCTATGCCTCCCTGGTGCTGGTGACCATGGTGATGCGGCTCACCAACATGAACGGAGAGGTGGTACCCATATCCTTGGCCCTGGTGCTGGGCTGGTGCAGTGTCATGTACTTTGCTAGAGGATTCCAGATGCTGGGTCCCTTCACCATCATGATCCAGAAGGTCAGTGCTTTCTGAAGCCTTCTTCTGGCTCAGTCAGAGGACTTTTGCAGACTGAGGGTTGGGGACAGGTGCAAAAAAGGAACTTCTGCTCTGACTGGAGCTGGTGGAACTCTGGGGGCCTCCTGATCTGTTAGTAATAATGGCTCAGATACCGTGGAGAAAGGATCATTCCACCTTTCTTCCTCTTCTCTGTTTCATGCAGATGATTTTTGGGGACCTGATGCGTTTCTGTTGGCTGATGGCCATGGTCATCCTGGGATTTGCCTCTGGTGAGTGTGTGACTCCTTCATCCAGTGGATCATTGGGTCCAGATCTTCAGAAAGCTCACCCTCAYTCTCGCTCTCAGCTCTCTTCTGTACTCTATTTTGTTGTGCATGAGATCGGGACCACTTAGGCTGGCCAAGAAGGTAGACTCATGTGGCCTGGACCAATCACATTTGTGTTGACTAACTTCCCTGTGAGACCTTGAGCTGGAGAGGGCTTTTGGAGGGAGATGGACCTTAAACAGGAAAGACAGTTTGTGGATCCTAGAAAACTGTGTGGACAAAGAGAAACAAGGCAGTGTTTAACTCTTCTTTCCTTACAGTTCAGAAGAAGAAACAAAGCATGAAGAAGACAGTGTGCTCTCTTTCTCTAGGTGGTCTTTAAAGTTGAGATAAAAGGAAAGAATTAGAACAAAGAGATATACAAGAGAGCCTGGACATTTTAAATCATGGTAGAGAAAACAGAAAAAGAAGAGTGGTGAAGAGAGACTGAGAGATACGGGACAAGCAGGGATTCAGTCAAGGCTTAGTGGAGGTGCCAGGGAGAGAGAAAAAAGAGAGCAAGGGAAGGGAAAATGGCAGGAAGAGCAGCGGGCAGGAGAAGGAACAGGAAGGAGTACAAGAGAGTTCTTGGTGTTGGAAAGATGAAGATCCTAAGGCCAGGAACTCTGACTCTGTCCTTGATTAGACAGGCAGGTGTATCAGAAGAGCTCTGAARACCACCAACTCTAAAAGATCATGACTCCTTGCACAGATTCTTTACTATTCCCAGAAATTTCCCTGTTCAATAGGGGTTCCCACAAAAACAAAGATGGAAAAACAAAAAGAAAAACCAAAAAAAAAACCAAAAACCAAAAACACTCCAAGATGTAAAGCATGAAAGGGTAGAGCTGGCAGTCTATCTAGAATGTTCTACTCCCCTGCACCCTCCAATACCCCTCTTCGAAGCCTTCTCCCTTCCTCACCTGCGTCTACTCATACACAGGTTATAAAACAGGGCAAGGGTAACAGAGTTGCTTCCTACAATGTCCTAGACCCCATATTCCCTAAATGATCACTTCTTGGCCATTGTACTTAACTTTTTTATTAAATAAGGAAGATGTTCTCTGTCATGGACCCTATTTCTGCTCTTGGAGCCACCTTGTTGATGTTTCAATTTCCCACACGGAGAAGCCATTGAAAGGGTCTATTGCTGAGGTCAGGTCCAAGGATGCCCATTACCGTCCAGCAGGCCACACAGAAAGCAACGACAGCCTTCCCATGAGCGTCCAGGCTCACCTAGGGAGTCTCAGGGTGATGGATAGTTATCTAAAGCCCATCGAGATAAAAKGTCCTCTTCTTTTAGCCTTTTGATGTGCTCCATTTTTAAAAATTGTTGCGTCTTCCACGCATTCTTTTCAACAACTTATCTTGTAAATGTTTGGCTTTCTAAAAGTTAAGAAACAGTTGACATTATGCCATACATGCCCATACATTTTTTTTTCTTAATGCCTGAGTATGATCATCACCCAKCATGGTGAACTTAGTCATAGGACCTCTTGGAGTTGGCCAGTTTCACAGTTTCACATTTGCGGATGCATGATTGTGTGGACGTGTGTATGTATATGGAGATGTATATATCAGAGGTAGAGTGAATACTAACTTGGCCCATGCTTATTGTGATAATTCCATTCTTTCTGGGCGGAGCAGCGTTCTATATCATTTTCCAGACAGAGGACCCAGCCAACCTGGGGGAATTCTCTGACTACCCCACGGCACTGTTCAGCACCTTTGAGCTGTTCCTCACCATCATCGATGGCCCTGCCAACTACAACGTAGATCTGCCCTTCATGTACAACCTCGCCTACGCTGCCTTCGCCATCATCGCCACACTGCTCATGCTCAACTTGTTCATCGCCATGATGGGCGACACCCACTGGAGAGTGGCTCAGGAGCGTGATGAGCTCTGGAGGGCCCAGGTGAGTTTATTAGTGTGATTCTTGCTAAAGGACAGGGGATGGAGAGAAAAATCAAAGTGGGATGTTATGGTGGACCGTGCCCAAAAGAGTCACAGGACAACCCAGTGAGGCTGTCATCTCAGTGATGTGTAAATCTGAGGTACATGTGGATAGATAGAGGGGACAGAAGCAGGATAAACTGGAGGGTAGAGGCAAGAGGTGGGGCTGTTGATCATGGGTGAAAAGTAGATCTAGGAGTCCTTCTTGGATCTGCTGGGAACCAGAAACTGTGCTAGTATATTCTAGTTTTTATATTTGGACCTTATGTTCTCTTAGATTCTATGAATCCCTGTTTTCCATGATCTTTTCTTATGTCACCATAATACAATACGTAGTAGAGTTGGAAGTTACCCTCAGGAGACCTCTAAGAAGTACTCACCTATTACTCAGCGTAGTTATTTATTGGTCAGAGTCCTTCAACATCTTCTCAATGCTAATCAAGACCTTATTATCTTATATGTTTGGATAGGGGGTAGGAGGAGGGGAGTTTTCCCAAATTATTAAAAATGTCCATATTGTGTTGAGCTGAAACTTGTCTTTTTATAATTTTCATTCTCTGGCCCTAAACTTCTTCCCCTCATACAATAGGGAATACATTTTTTTATGCCACTAGTCAATTATTTGAATAGAGTCATCATCCAATTTACTCCTTAAACTTTTCATTTGGGTCATGATAATCCTTTAGGGCCTGCTCTTTACTGGGGAATTTCTAGGAGCTGGAACACATGCACAAACACGACAGCTGTAACCTGTGTCCTCATGGGGCTGCCAGTCTAGTTGGAAAGGCAGACATCAAGCAAATGACTTCATAGAAGGTTGCAAACTTACAGCAATAAAAGCGCCATGGAGAATACCAGGTGCTCAGAAGAGGAGGCAACCCAGGAACCTGACTGGAAAGTTAGGGAATGCTTTCCTGAGGCAGTGACATTTAAGATGAGACCTAAAGATGGGTAAGAATCCATTGAGAACAATGGTGGAGAGGATAGGGGTCAGGGATTGTAGCAGTGAGGACCCATGACAACAGGAACAGAAAACAAAACTCAAACAGACTTGTTTTTAAGTAGGAGGAGGAGGGTATGTTGATCCTTTGGGGGTGGCTGGTCAGAACCCAGTCTCCATCTCACATATTCGGTCAGTCCCTTGTTCTGCTCTCTCTTGTTCTGACTCTCTTCTGAGTCAGGTTCTCCTGCCCTGTTGTCCTGATGACTTAAAGAAGTTCTAAGCTCTGAGGGAAAGAGCAGGTTCCTTTAGTGCATGATCATAAGACCTGTTCTTGTTGCGTTCTGTCAACATGGTATAGTGCTGTTGGCTTAGAAAGAGCATCTTTGACCCCAGAAAAATCAGCCTAAGATTCACATCCTTGCAAAAAGTTTGGGTCTCACAGACCCATTTCTGAATTTAACATAAAGTTATGACCTTGATGGTGGTGACCTTGATGATGGAGGTAAGGAGGCCTCACCTCGAGCCCCATAATGGAGGAGACGATTTCCAGGGACTTGGTAATCCAGCTTATTCTAACCAATGGGCTGAGAGAGGTGAAGGATCCATTCTCTAAATGAAGGATGGGTTCTGTTACCAGAAAACAAAGGGAGGCTGGATAATAGCTGAGTAAATCATGTGAAAAAAATTCAGATTCTAGTAGATCATAAACTTAGAAAGAGACAGTTACATATATGTATCCTTTTTGCGGAAGAGAAGACCTATCCAGAGAAGAGAACCGAATGGTTAGAAGTCCTGAGATTGACTCAACTATGAACCCAAGGGAAGTGTGGAGTAATAAAAAAGTCAGGGAATGGGAGAGGGTGACGTGGACAGTTGGCTGTAATAAGGACTGCTAGCTCCTGCAATCAATAATGCTACCTGGCCCTGACCCATTGTGACTGCACTCTGTTCCTGTGATAATAGACCACGGTCCTTTTGAAATTAGAATTGTCCAGTCCCTGATATGATTGGAGCAGTGCTGAGAGAGATCATGCCTTTTCTTACTTTGGATATAATACTATTACCAAAAGCACCTAAAATCAGGTCAGATCTTTTAGCATATATGTMACTGTCTCTTTCTAAGTCTATGATGTACTAGAATCTGAATTTTTTCCACATGATTTACTCAGCTAAGTTCCTTACATGTAAATGTAGGACCTCACATTTTTTTAAATTCAATGTTATTGGTTTTAGAGCAGCATTCTGGTTTGGTGAGGTCATTTTATATTGCTTTTGTCACCCCACATATTACGTATCCCTCCCAGTTTTGYGTCACAGGCATATTTGATAAGCTTGTCCTCTGTTTCATCTAGGTAGTTAATGAGGGCTGGGCAAAGGACAGAACCTAGGACATGCTACTAGAAATTTCCCTGCCAAGTGAGCAGTCATTAATCAATCCTTTTCCCTCTTCAGGTATGGATGTTTAAGTAGCTGAAATTCCTTGAACTGGAGCAGCATCCGTTCATCCCTGAGATCAGAGAGATTTTATTTAATCATTTTATTTAAACCAAGATCATTGGTCTGTGACCTTCCAATGAAAAAAGAAAATGAGATTACTTTGAAATGACTCATTTTCCCTGAATCTGAATAATAATGTTGGAGTCACTGTTTTATTCCAARCAAAGAACATCCTTTCTCCTTTTCCTATGAGAAAAGCAGGCTGGCATGATCTTGCCACAGGCTCGAAGAAGATAATGGTAGCTCTTACCGCTGATCTCTGGGGTCCTCGTTTCACACATGGCTTTTGATTCCCTTTGTGGGTGGCCTCGGTGTCCCTCTGAACCTCACGGCTCTTTCTGAGTTCTTTCTCTGCCTCTCCCCTCCTTTCAGGTCGTGGCCACCACCGTGATGCTGGAAAGAAAGATGCCTCGCTTCCTGTGGCCTCGCTCAGGGATCTGCGGTTGCGAGTATGGCCTGGGGGACCGCTGGTTCTTGCGGTGAGTGACCAGGGTGATCAGCCTGAGAAGCAAGGGCCACCAGGGGACTGTGTTAGCCTGTCTTGGGGGGGGAGATGGAGTACAGGCGGGGGCTTAAGGAATGCTGATGGTAAGGGCAGGCTGTGTGTGTGAAAGGCTCRGATGTGAGCGCGATTGCCCGGCTCATGGTCTGCTCCTGCCTGACCAGCATTGCCCATATACTCTGGCCTCCAGTGCTGCTTCCTCCTTCATGCTCTACCCTTATCTCCTTACCTGGCTCTCGTCTCTCCGGGGGTTTCCTGGACTCTATATTCTCAACCCTGTGACCCTGYATCTGTTAACTGACTCCATTTTCTCTTCCACATTCCTCTATATTGCCATCACCCATGTCCCACGGCCCCCTAAAGGCTGATGGCTCGACACCTCCATTGCACTCCAGCCCCCTTCCMCTCTCTTGATCCTCGAGGCTCTTCCTGCTCCAGCTCTGGTCCCCTCCTTTTCTTCCCCTGTGATCCCGTCTCCTCCACGTTCCCCTCTCCTTCTCCCCCACAGCCTCGTCCCACCTCGGGTGACGCCTTTCTGCTTTTCTCTCCACAGGGTCGAGAACCATCACGACCAGAATCCTTTGCGAGTGCTCCGTTATGTGGAGGCTTTCAAATGCTCAGACAAGGAGGATGGGCAGGAGCAGCTGTCTGAGAAACGGCCCTCGGTGACTGAGGTGGGCACTCTAGCCAGAGCCTCTCTGGTTCTTCAAACTCCGTCCCTGTCCAGGACCACATCTCAGAGCAGCARCAGCCACCGAGGCTGGGAGATCCTTCGTCGCAACACCCTGGCACACTTGAATCTCGGACTGGACCTTGGTGAGGGGGATGGAGAGGAGGTCTACCATTTCTGATGAGGATTCCCTGACTCTTGGCCTGACTCCAGGTGGGCCTGGGTGGGGACAGAGAAGGAGATGCCTGCTGAAGCAAGCGTCTAGCTTTCATGCCTGTTAGTCACGAGAAGGTGTAGAGGGAACAGTTTCTAAAGGGCCATACCATATTTCACCCATCACGTCAGCATCTATGCAGGTGGGCAATGGTCATCGACTGTCCCATGTATCTTATGGGTTCTTGGAAGTCTCAAGTCCTGAAAATGGCGGGTATCTTTCTGAGCAAAGTTGGACTTGGCAACTAGAGACAYGAGATAGGGAGGCCAGATTGATATCTGGACCATCTCTCTTCTGCCCCAGGCAGTCTTCAGAGAGTAGCAAGCAGTGCGGCCTGCCCAGCTCCACACAGCTTCTTAGGGGAAGAGCTAGGCTTGTTGTAGAACAGTGACCTTTCTTCTTTTCCAATCTCTCTGCTGGACTCTCTCCCACCTAGCAACCAAAGCCCAGCTATGAAGCTACAAGAAGAAAGCTTCCATATCCTTGCTTTCTCTAAATTTTCTCTTACTGTGGCTAAGTACATATAATCTAAAATTTACTCTTTTAATTATTTTTTAGATGTACATTTCAGTAGCAGGAAATACATTCACATCATTGTACAAACTTTCATCATTTTGCAGAAGTTTATCATCATYATAGATGATAAGCCCACTAAATAACAACTCCCTTCCATTTCCTACCCCTGTTTCTAATAATTGTTGTTTTACTTGGTGTCCATGACTTTGACTACTCTAGGTACCTCATATAAATGGAATCATGCAGTTAAGTCCTATTGTATCTCTCTATCTTCAGTTAGCATAATATTCTCAAGGTTCATCCATGCTGAAGCAGGTATCAGAATTCCATTTCTTGTTAAGGTGGAATGATATTTTGTTGTGTATACACACACACACACACACACACATCCCACAAATTTTTTTAATCTCTTCATTTATCTATAAATATTCAGTTATTTCTACTTTGGGTTATTGTAAATAATGCTGCTATGAAAATGAGTGTATACATATCTGTTCCAGTCACTGCTTTCAATTCTTTGGGGCATATACCTAGAAATGGAATTGTTAGGTCACATGACAATTCTATGCTTACTATTTTGAGAATCTGCCATACTGTTTTCCACCGTGGTCTTCAGATTTGACATTTCCTCCTAATGAGTGTGAAATGGTATCTCATTGTACTTTTAATTTGCCTTTCCCTAAGTACTAAGGATATTGAACATACTGACATGTATTTATTTATGGGACATTTGTATATCATTGGGAAAATGTCTATTCACTGTCTTTGCCTCATTTTCAATTGTTTTTTTTTTGTTTTTATGGTTGTTGTTAAGTTGCCGTATCTAATTTCTCTCCTGGTGTGTGTATGTTTGTTTTTCTTTAATTTGTTTTACCTAGTTACACATGACAGTACAGTGATCTTGACATATCACACATTTGAATCAGATGGGATGTAATTTCTCATGTTTCTGAGTATACAGGTTGCAGAATCACATAGGGGTGGTGAATGTTGACTTTCTCTGTTTGAATGGCCCAATCGCTTCTACCAGACGCTCCCTGCTCTATCCTTCAGGTGGCTCATTTGCAGCTAATCATCCTTGAGCCTGGAGGCAAAGGCTCCTGCTTTGTATCCTGAAACTGCCTGGCTCCACACCCATCTCCCTTTGCCCCTGTGCTGAGTTGTGAATTGAACAGCAAGAATAAAAGGCTGTCATCTCTGCCAGGAGGGAAATTTGGAACCAGGTGTCCAGGTTACAGGAGCTCGTATATAACGTCCCTCTTGTCCCCAGCCCTTACATCTCATCTCAGTCCTGTCATCGCTTCTACCAAGAAAACATTACAACTTTAAAAAGAACTATAGTCTGGAATAGTAAAGAGGTAAGTGGCATTTGTGAAACCATAGCCAGGTTCATTCAGATACATAAGTGCCAAGTTGCACTCCCCAACAGTGAGGGCTCACACCAAAGTTCACAAACACTCTCACACCCACGGGACCTACTGGGCATGGTGTTTCAAAGTGCTGAGCCATGGTGATTCCTCTGTTCTCCTTCAAGTGGAAGCACTTCCAAGCCTCCGGAAAACTGGACTCTCRTCTGTGCTCCAGATCCAGTTCTCTCTGCATTTTCAGACACCTGTGCCCAGCGCTGTCTGCTCTCACTCTTCCTATTTATGTATCTCCAGCTTCTCCACTAGCTCATCAGCAGATAAACATGCTGCATTCTTAAGCACACTCTCTCCACCCCACACCACTTTCAGCTACCTATGATTTCTACTTCCTGTTTAAGGAAAAACTTCTTAAGATTTGTCTCATTGTCTGCTGGTCTTCCACTGATTCCTCAACCCACTGTGCTTTGACCTGGTCTTTTCCATGCTACTGGTTCTACCCGGGTCTGGGCTATCTTCCTGGGGCCAACTCATGGAGCCATCTTGGTTTTGCTTCAACTCTCTGCAGCATTCAGATTACAGTTGACTATCTACCACTTCCCATGTTCCTACCACTCTGGCTGCTTGTCTTCATTTCCTTAAATGTCTTTGGTCCACAAGACTCTGTTTCCTCTATCACCTGGGCAGTGCCACCTCCTGCCATAGATTACTGCATGTAAGCTCATGTCTCGCAAGTGCCTATCTTTGGTTCAGATCTGTCTTCTGAGCTCCAGGCATGAACAGCTTCGACGCCAGCTATTGGACCACTCCACTTGGATATTTTATAGACCTCTTGAACTCAACATGTCCCAAACTGAACAGCGTTTCCTCCTCACCAAACCTGCTCCTCCACCAGTGTTCTCAACCAAATAGGCAGCAGCACAATAGGCAAAGTTGCCCAAACCAGTATCTTAGGCGTCATCCTCAGTATTTCTGTCTCAATTCTCATATCCAGCACATCTCATCTTGTGGAAATTCTATTCCTTAAAACATCTGCTTTRAGAAATAATCATTTTGATTAGACAGAAAAGTAAACTCTACTATMTCTGCCTCAGCCCCTTGGCTGTTTCCCCCAGGGATATCCACTATTAAAAGTTTGTTATTTATCTTTCCAAAAATACTTTAAGTGTGCCCAAGCACAGGTGTGTACATATTTTCTTAAAAATAATATCATGGGATAGTCTATTAGAAAAACAGTTTTTACTTTTCTCATTTAATGAATTTTTAGAGACTATTCTGTACTGACATAACATTTAAAAGTTTCCTTTTTTTTTTTTTTTTTGTCTGCTTCTTTGTAAAACGGGCCACCATCATCTCCCTCCCACATCACAGGAGAACATTCCCAACGGCTCAGGTTGCATGCAGTCTTGGTCTTCCCCAGTCTRTAGCTCCCAGTACAGCCAGAATGACCTTGGTATGAGGCAGCCCCTGCCTTACACTATGGTCTTTGGGAAGTGCTGACCCCTAGCAACCTCTCCAGCCTTCTCTCTCTTCCTGTGCTGTGTGTCACCAAGATAAATTCCTCTCAGTTCCTGGAGAGTAAGTTTGCTTCCTCTCATCTTCGTGATTTATGGACCTTCCTACCTCTCTGTACTATTCTCCCTTCCATCTTTGTAACTTTTTACTCATCCTTTGGTGTCAACTTAAAGATAAGAYCTTTGGGGKGTGTGTGTGTGTATGTGTGTGTGCCTGCGTGCCTGGGTGCGCACGTACCATCTGGAAKAGGAGGGGTAGTCTCTGTCCCCCTAGATTAAGTTAGAGACCACCTGCTGTTTCCTGTCTAATATTTTTTTTTATATTATGCACCCTACACTATTCCACTTACTTGTTTAAATATCTGTTTTCCTTAGTAAACTACGCACACCACAAAGGCAAAGATGGTGCCCATCCTACTTGCTATTGTTTTCCCAGGACCTGGCATAATTCCTGGTATTGTGAAATAAATATTCATTAACTGAATCTATGAATGATTGACYTGTTTTTAGTTTAAGTTCTCACTGGCCACCCTCACTTTTTTTTCCTCCGATACTGGAGATTGAACCCAGAGGCACTTTGTTACTGAGCTATATCCCACCCCTTTTTATTCTTTATTTTGAAAAAGGTCTTGCTAAGTTGCTTAGGGCTTCGCTAAGTTGCTGAGGCTGGCTTTGAACTTGCAACTCTCCTGCCTCAACYTCCAGAGTCACTGGGATTACAGGCCTGCCCCACTGTGCCTGGCTTTCTTACTTCTTAAACGTGTTAAAAAAAATAACTGACTTTGAGTGGAGTTGTAATAATTAAAGATGAGCTATGAGTAGAAACACTTGGAAAAGATAAAACCAACGCAAATGCAATTAGTGGGACATTTTTCCAGCTTAATTATACATGGGCCAGGGAAAGGGAGCTGCGGAAGGAAGGAAAAGKTGAAGGACAAAGAACCATGAGGAATATCAGGCGGGAGAGGAAAAGGGAGAAGGCCCCAGCAGCAGAGCTCTGGGACAGACCTCCCTGCACCTGCTACGGTGTGGCACCCTCTGGGTGGCACTGAGATCTACAAGACTCCACACCTGCCCTCAGAGGCCCAAGTGAGAAGGGAAGAGAAGACAGGCACAGACATCTGTACTGCAGGCCAGACATGGTAAGTGGGCCACGCGTGAAGGGTTGGACCAAAGAGCAGGGGTTCTTGTCCTGCCCACCTGCTTGATGAAGCAGAAGTAGAGCAAAAGACATCCTGCTGTTTGTGTCCCAGGAATTCTTCAGATACCCCAGAGGGTCACCATTCTCCCCTCTGGCTKCGGCTCCACCAGCTGCTTCAGAATAGAATGCAGAACATTCTGGCTCCCGCAGGCCTCACAGGCTAGAAGCAGGGAAGTTCCCACAGGTGTCAGCAGGCTGGACAAGGAATCCCCTCCCAGAGGTTTGCAAAGAATGTTCTTGATGAGGTTCTGAGTTCTGGTGAGGAGGATTGCATTGCCCCTGAGAAGTGGCTCTGCCGGCAGCCTTGGGGAAGGCCAGAGGCCAGCATCCTTTCCCCCTGTGCTCTATCTGAAGAAAGACAGGATAAGGTGTTGGGTCCTGGAGCCGAGGGAGATGGAGAAG